CCGACCGATACCCAGACAGTTCCCAAGCAGCAATCGCTGCTTGCTGGCCAACCCCCCCCAGTTTATATACTGAGCATGACGTCATATGGTATGGAATAGCCCTTTGGTCAGTTTGGATCAACTATTCTGGCTGTGCCCCCTCCCAGTTTCTTGTGCACCTGGCAGAGCATGGGAAGCTGAAAAGTCCTTGACTAGCATACGCAGTACTGAGCAACAACTAAAAACATCAGCGTGTTATCAACATTCTTCTCCTACTAAATCCAAAACACAGCACTATGCCTGCTACTAGGAAGAAAATTAACTCTATCCCAGCCGAAACCAGGACACCAAGAGAAATGAGTGCTGGTGGCACTTCCTCTCCCTGACTTCCCAGTAGCAGGGCATAAAGCATAGCAGAGCACAGCCGTGGGTTGCAAAGCGGGCTTGGGAAGCCTCGTGCTGGGCAGACAGGATGCGGCTTCTCCCTTCGGGGTTCCAGCCCTGCATGTGGGACTGCTGGCGCTGCTGCTCCCAGGTGTCACTACCAGGACTGCTGTACCAGGAACTCTTTCACTCTTCCTGCCAGTCTCCCAGCAGCAGGTTTTGGGCTCAGGAAAATGTGTCAGGAAGGAGGCCAGAGGCTCATTCAAGATGGCACAGGCTCATTCAAGTGGCTGAATTACAGGCCTTCAGCAGCAGCTCCCTGGCTGTAAATCTCCAGCCAGGACAGGATAAACGGAGCTCTTTCACTCATCTGCTCTGGCGCGTCCCCACTCTGTTTGTGGAGAGAATTCCCCAGGTCCCCAAGGGTCCCACCACAGCAACCTTGCCTGGGCAGGCACCAGCAGCATGGTGGAACACAGGGGAGGTGCCACCCAATTGTGTGGGGACCCAATTGTCCTGGTACTGTGCTCTTGTTTGTCCTGCTCTCCCCTGGTGATGCTGTAAATCCCCAGTCTCTCCCTGCTCCCTTGGGAGTGGTGGCTGCATGAGTCTGACTCCAGCACAGCCGCTTGCTCTGTTGGTGTTGAAGGAGCTCCTCTCCTGCTCTAGAGATCTCTCCTCTAAGGAAGAGGAATGAGCAGAGGGATGCACTTGGACAAGCTGCTGCCAGCAACAGGCTGGAGGCTGGTTTGAAGCTCTCTCCTGCTGCCCTAGGAGACAGGGGCTTGGATCTACAGCTGGTGGTGGCACACTCCATTCTGTCTGGCAGTCACAAGCTCTGACATGGCCTCGTGGTGGTCCTTGGGACCTTACTCAGTCAAGTCAGCGGGAGGCTGCGCTCCCTCTTCTCCCAGCCCTGCTTAGTGCCCCCATGCACAAGGTGCACCATGTTAAATTGGAATAGTTCCTCACCTGGTGCAAGTGAATGCTGAGACATGCGCTGCACAGCCCTGAGCTTCATCTGCTCAGGCTAATGCTGGAGCACCCAAAAGCCCCCAGAAAGGCCACAGCGTCAGCCAGGTATGTTCTTGCCTTCCCTGTGACTCCCTGCCAGGAGTCATTGAGGAGGAGGTAGCAAGCAAAGGCATGTTGCACAGGGGCATGGTGGTCTGTAGGCCCAAGAGGCTGCCTCTCGGGTAAAGAGAACAGCAGGTTCCCAAAGGGAGGGAGCTGCTCCTGGTCAGGGGGGCTGTTTGCTTTGCTGTGCCCCTCTGTGCAGGCTACGAAGTGGCTAGATAGTTCACTACCTCTCGGTGGCAGAAAGTGGCTGTCTCCCACATCCCACACCAAGAATCACTCTGTCTTGCTCTGTCCCTGTCTTACAGCAACCACAGCTGATCGGTTCTACAGGATAGACCGCGCACAGGTGAGTGTGGCCTCATCCTCTGCCATTGTCCCCCTGGCATCTACTGGGAAGGTGCTTGAGTGTCCTGCATTCAGGTGGACCGACAGGCAGGCTCAGCCTCGGGGACATGCAGGGCACACCACTGCCCGGCCCTGTGGCATCCCCCAAGGGATGGTGTGACTGGCCTGGCCCAGGACCTGCCCCAGCACCTCCAGGTTCCCATGGAAAGGGAGGAAGCGTGGGTGGGAGCACAGAGACTTGGGTTAGAAGCTGCCTGCAGAACCCTACAGTGGAGCAGGAAAGGAATAGCAATGTAGCAAGGCTGGCCAGGCACCCCTGACTGGGGTCATCTTAGCCAGCATTAAATACTTTCCCTAATGATCTGGAGAGGGGGACATGGAGATGAGGTGTATGGGTCAGCTGCTAGGTTGAGAGGAGATGGGAAGCCTGAGAAGGACAAGGAGATGCGGAGGCTTCCCAGGCATAGGTCCCAGGACTCTTTGAGCCACCATCACTCTGCTGAGCAAGTGGGTGGGCTACAAGGCATGGCATGTGAGGGGATGGGAGGTGGAGCTATGAAGAAGTAGGTCTTGCTTATGAGGAGGCTGATTTGTGTCTTTCAGGAGCACCTCAACTATGTGACAGAGATCTCTCAGGATGAACTCTATGTGCTGGACCCAGAGCTGGTGATCACCCAGACCGTGGGCACCTCTCCTGCCATGCCTGACCTTGTTGACTCGTCTGCCACACCCACAGGGCACCATTTCGCATTCCCCTCCTCTTCTTCCTCTCCACCCTCCTCTCCTGCCCCCAGGTAAGTCTGGGGTGGGAGAGAATGGGGTGCTGGACCTCAGGAAGGATGGGCAGTGATGGAGGAGCCAGGGTTGGCTTCACTGCATTGATCTCTGGGCCAGATTACAGGGGGCTCTGAGGAGGCAAGCAGGATTTCAATGCTGAGTTAGACCAAGCAGTGAAATGCTGTCCCATCCTCCATGCTCCCCAGCCAGTGCTGCTGGAGGCGGCGGGACATCACCAGGTAGCTCAGCCATGAGGTCAAGCTCCAGCGCCTGGCCCATGGAGCAAAGGGCATGGGTGTCTATTGGCACAAGTCAGGCTGGCCTCGGGTACAGGTGAGCAACAGAGCTGGGAGCAGTAGAAATGGGAGTGGGGATGGGGAAGAACCCAGATGGGGGAAGAAGCAGATGGCATGACCAAAGAGCAGCAAAGTCCCTTGGCCTGCCTCTGCTCCTGCCTGCTGGAGGAGTGCCACGGGCAGGCTTCTCCACAGCCATCCCTTCACCCACCGTGTGCTCTTTTGGGTGATCTGCTGCCAGGACTGGCAGGGTTGGTTATGCCTTTTCTTCTTCCCTTCCAGCGCTGAGCCTGAGTGCTGCCTCCCGCACAAAGGTGAGTTCTGTCCCACCCCCTGTCGCACCTTCTCTCAGGTCCTGCTGTTTTGGGTCCCCGCCACGGTTTTTTTGGCCTATCCTTTCCCTGGCATGCAGGCAGGAGCCCTGCTGTCTGTGTGCTAGGTGGGACCACAGGGCCCCTCAGGTGGGTGACCCCAGAGGTGAGCAGGAGAGACCTGACAGTGATTTGTGGAGAGGCCTGGCCAGGTACCTTCCCAACTCCACTGTGCAGGAAATGGCATGGTGTAGGGGTTAATCCCCCACCTGCGGAGCCGAGTGCTGTGGGCTGGGTTGGGGGGCTGTCCCTGCCAGGCAGTGGCGGGAGCTCTGGAGGTGGGAGCACAAAGTCAGGGGCCTCGCCAAGCTGAGAAAATGGAAAGAGTTTCCTGGAGCTTGAGTGGAGCCCAGTGCCTGGAAGTGTGAGTCATGGGTGAGAGGCGTCTCGGCTGCTGGCTGACGCCCAGGAGATCTGCTCCCCACTTCCATCGCAGGTCATCCTGCCTATGGGCAAAGACTACTCCCCCTGCATGCGCACCTCCCTGGGGCTGAGGTCTGGCTGCACCCCCAGCTACGTGGGGTCTCCCTCCATCCCCTGGCTTGTCCCTTATATGCCTGAAGGTGGGGGAGCCATGTAAAACCAGTCTGACCAAGGGGTTAGCACCTGGAGGAGCTCCAGCTGACTGCTGAGCCTCCGGTGCCCAACTGTCGGCTCCCCAGTTAGATAAGTGGCATTACAGCTTGGCTTTTCTGACCCCGACCCATCTCCCTTCTTTGCAGACGACCTTCTGATAGAGGCTGCCAAGAGCGGCAACTTCAGCAAGGTAGGTGCTCCCGCTGCCTGCTGCGATAGCAGCCAGGGCTGGCTCTGGGTGCTTGCTCCGCAGCCTGCTCAGCTGGCATCCCCCTCGGGCTGTGGGAAGCCCTGCCAGCCGCACTCAGGGATTGCCCTCGAGCAGCTCCTGTCAAGGGCCTTCCTCCAAGAGCAGTGGCTGGAAACCAGGCAGGCTCCTGGCAAGAAGCCTTGTTCCTCGGCTGGGGGACATGGAGGGAAGGGACTTGGCAGTGTGGCTGAGCTGGACAGAGCTCCCCACCAGGTCCCAAATATCCATACAACCTGCTGAGCACCCCAGGGACACAGTTCTGGGGCTTGGGGCTTGGAGCTGGGAAAGGCAACTCATCGCAAGCAATCTGGCAATCCTGTAGTTCCAAGAGCTGCACCGGGCTGGAAGAGACCTGATGGTGCGAGACTCCTCGGGCCAGACCGTCCTCCACCATGCCGTGAAATCAGGGAGCAAGGACATCGTCAAATACATCATTGAGAACGGTGAGCTGGGGCCAGAGTGCCACCCTTAAGCAAAGGAACCTGGCAGCTGTAAAAGCCCAACCCTCTGCTTGGAAGGCGTGATCCTGGGCTTAGATCCCTTCCCTCCTGGTTTGCTACATCCTCCTGGCATATGGGCTTTCCCTGGCATCTGTCTGCCAGTACTGGGGTGCCCCCATGGCTATTACCGTGTCCTGGCAGGGACCAGCATGTCTCTGGGAAACGTTTCTCAGTGTCCTGCTTCTGCCTTCAGGGCAGCTGACCTGTTGTTTTTGGCAGCTCCCACTGAAATAGAGGCTGCTTTATTTTTATTTAGGTATTTCTTTGTAATGAGTCCACAACAACTCTTCTTCCCTGGTCTCAGCTGGGCTCAGATGCCATTGCTGGCCTGAGTGCTTTGAAGCCAGGACCTTGGCGCAGGCAGCATGGACAGAAATAGCAGCCCCTGTGGAAAGACGCAGGGTGCAACTGGGGAGGGATTAGGTGGGTCCGTCTGCCCCGCAGCCAGGTCTCACTCACCCTACACTGTCTTTCTCTCCACAGCCCCTTCAGAAATCCTTGATGCCACGGAGGAGGAGAAGTAAGTTGCTGACTGACTTGCATTACCTATTGGCCAGACCCTCTGCGAGGTGACCAGTTGTCTGGGCACTTATCAGCTGTCCTCACTGTAATTACCAGCCATGGTTCCCAGTCCACTCTGGACTGACTGTCCCCAAGCAGCACCTCCTCCTCTGCCAGGGCTGCCTGCACAAGCATGCAACCCGCCGTGAGCTCCTGCTGCAGTCAGATAGCTGTCCTTCACTGCCACCTGCACATGCTGCTTTGTCCCCGTTTGGGGGGGACATCTCACATCTCCCGCTTTCTCCTCCCCAGTGGCGAAACCAGCTTGCACCAGGCTGCAGCCTTACGCCAGCGCACTATCTGCCACTACATTGTGGAGGCCGGGGCCTCGCTCATGAAGACGGACCTGCAGGTGACGGCGGGAGGGCTGGCAGTGAGGCTTCCTGGGGGTACCAGGGGGCTGGCAAGAGCTGGGCCAGCAGGAGCCCCTTGCTCGGGTGCTTTGGCTGGGGTCTTTGCCAGCCAGAGAGGAGCTGATGTGAAGCATCCATGCCCAGTGGAGCCCAGCTGCAGAGGGGTTAAATCCCTCTCCTCCCTGCACTTCTCTCCCTGTTGTTTTATTAAATTAGAAGCGAGGGGCTGGAATGTCTCATCCCTGTCTCCCCCTTCCCACCCTCCGGGGTCAGAGCAAGGACATTCTTGCTGCAAGCTCCCTCCCAACTGCAGGGCTCCCCCCACTCTCCCCCGCAGGCAGCCGTGATGGGGGGCACTGGGAGCTCCTCTCGGCGGGGGGAGCCGGCGCGTGGGGAGCAGGAGCAGGCAGTGGCAGCCCTTTGCCTTGCATGCAGAGTTAATTGAGACGTGCCTTGGTGCCGGGGAGTTGTGCCAGCCCCGGCAGAGGAGTCACGGGAATGGGGCTTTTGGTGCGGGAGGCTCCTGAGACTGGCGGGCAGCAGCAGGGACATGGTCGCATGTGTCTGGTGGAGGCTTGTGGTGATGGGCTGTAGCAGAGGAGTTGTAGTAACGAGCTGAGAAGCTGCAGTCTGTGGGTCTGGGACACAGGAGCCCGGCTGAGGGGTGCAAACTTGCTGGGGCCAGTGGAGCTTGGGGGCTGCCTCAGACAATGCGCAGCCCCATTGCCAGCTGCCAGGGAGATGCTGTACAGACAATCTCTGGCTACCCATTGCTGCTCCTTGGTCCTGGCCAAGGCTTGGGCCTTGCACAGCACCCAAAGAGGGGCTGGCCTGGCTGGAGACTCAGCCGGCAGAGGCAAGGGGAGAGGGCAGCTCTGGGGGCGCGGCCCCTCTGCCCCCAGCCCCCTCACCTGCCTGAAGGAGGGGAGCAGCCCCCAACCTGTCAGCAGAAAAGGGAGCCCCGCGCAGGCATGATGGCTGCCCCGGGGAACGGGGCTTGCACATGCCTGTGCAAACACGTGTGCAGGTTTGTAGCTGTCTGGGGACCCCTCTGCGCTGCTGCGCTGACCTCGCGTGGGCCCTGGG